TTATATCCATTTACTATATTGTAAATTTGGTATATTTTCAATTATAAAATATAAATTTCATAAATTATATGAAATTTATATAATTTATTTTGGGAAAAATATAAATTATTATAATTTAACAACCCTACTTATTATTAAATTAAAATTATTATCATGTCTATTTTTTGAGATGAAATAATGTTTTTGAAATACATGTAGTATATTGTGAGACACCATGGAAAGATAAAAAGCAAAATATCCTGTCCGCCCTTGCTTTCAAGCGGAAGGACATTAAATTGGAAAGGGAGGAGTGAAAGGGAGTGTGGAAGGGGGAGGGGTAAGGTGGTACTGGGAAGAGAGAAGTGGGAAGACTTATTTAAGTAAACAAAGTTTCACTTTAATTAATTCATCGGCAGTTTAAGTAATGATTGAGCAATAAAACTAACATGGATACAAATACAGGTGTTAAACTGAAAGTTAACTACTACAATATTTTCATAATAATACACAGTACAGTAATTTAAATAAATTCTATCCAAGTTAATAATAAAATTATTTTACAATGATTTGTAAAGCAATATTTTCTAATGCATGAATACCTTATGTATCAATGGAAAAATGTGCACTAGTTTAGTGAATTAATTTACATTTTTACTTTCAAGCACATTTATTAGCATTTCTAATGCAATTAGTTTTAATTAAATAAAAATGTGTTTAAAAATATGAAATTAAAAATGAAATCCATGAAATCTAAAATCCTGTTAAAATCTATTATATTATAGATTATTTGTCCGATAAAATTAGGCATTATAAATCAAATTGTAGACTAACTTCAAATAACAAATTGCTGTCAATTATAACAAATTTCATATCATTTAAGCCAGGGGATTAATACAAGTCATTTCATTTCATTTAATTATCAGTACTTTAAGTACTTTATAAAACTTGCCAACAAAACACCATAGCAAAATACAATGAAACTTATCTAATCGGATATAGTTGTAAATAATCCCAAACTCAAAATTAATAGACTAATAATAAATCCATGATTTAATGTTAATTTATTGAAATTGCTTGCTTTTGATTTATTGCATTAGATTGTTTTGAATAACGTCGTTATCATAGAAATAACAAAATCGTTAACTAATCAAGGGTACCGTAAAACCAAATTTACCGTTTAAGTTTAATACTTTAAATATTTGACAATAAATTTTGACACTCAGAGAGAGAGAGAGAGAGAGAGAGAGAGAGTTTTATACTGATTGGTAGTTTCCCATAACTAATGGTATTTCGCTATAGACATAGATATGGACAGGGATTATCCAAATTATCCCGCTATGTAACAAAATATTAGGGGAGAGAGAGAGAGAGAGAGAGAGAGAGAGAGCAAAGCCATAAATTGCACTAAATTTCACTCTAATTGTCCATATAATGGGACATCACATCCAATTGATGGTCACTTTTAACACCACTTACAGACACTGTCCTCTCCGGAGGCAACCGTTTATCAAATTTGTGGCTATCTTTGAGAAGTCACGGGAATTGTTTGGGTTTTAGTTGTGAATTGCATTTCACGGCTCCCTTTGACTTGATGTAAATTTAGGGTGTCTTTGTGAACATCATTTCTATAGTGTTTGTGGTATTCAATCGATTCAAACAATTATATAACAAATGAATAACTTTTTGCTTATATTTGACTGCATTTTCAGTCAACTGATGGACTGATAAAAAGTCTGTTTTCTATGAAAATACGAGTTTTTAATCCGATTTTGAGTCTTAATGTATGATTTATGCAATACTTTCAATACTATTGACATTTAATACAAATAAATACAAGTTTATAGTTTGCAAACATTACACCATTTATTCAGTGATCACCACTTAAGACACACAGAACACGTCTCGCGATATAAGCAATGGCCTCACCATTGGTTCGCTGACTACAAGTGATTACAAAAAACAATTGAAAAAACTATTTCTAACACTATCTTCACTACCATTATCATCACATCTTTGGACACACATATCATGTCTTCTTCTCGGGTTTCTTCCAGTACTTCCGCTGCATCTTCAGGAACGGCATACACTTCCACTCGTACTCCGGCTCAGCCCCGCCCTCCACTATCTCCCTCTCCTCCTTCTCCAGATCCTCCTTCAAGAAGTTATAGTACTTCCCGCGCATAGTCTTGGGCAGCATCACGACCCCCGGACAGGGACACTGGCCAGGGATGGCGCACATACACCACCGCTGCCTCTTGTAGCCAAAGATAGCCGGGTTCTCCTCCGCGGCGATACTCCTCTCCACGGCTAAGATCTCCGCGGTTTTGCCTAACGTCCGGTTCAGTTGATCCAGTATTTCGTGCCGAGTCTTGGAGTCGCAGTCGAATAGCACGTCCCGGCCGTCGTCCAGCCAACACCTGATGAATGGGTTCGGGAACCGCTCCAGATGTCGAAGAATCTGCACCTCGGGGTTCATATACTGGATCTGCGGTACGCTCCAGAAGTAGAACTCCCTGTTGTGTCGGGTCATAGAGTAAGAGGTATGGGTTATCAGGGGATGTGGTGGTGGTGGTAGTCATACACGTGAGTGTATCAACGCGTGTGTGATATCACCAGTGGATCGGATCCACTGTCTTGTGTCCATCAGTGAGTCAATGGGTTTTTCGATGTCACACCACATGTGTTGACATGAATGCTATGATAAGACACACGTGACAAGTAGTGGTACACTAGACACGGGTTTGTGTGCGCTATCACTCAACTGATCCCACCGATGGACACGCGATATATCAGCGCGCGGATCAACTCATGGCACGTGTACGTTATCTCCAGACCTGAGTCCCACGTGACTGTCATACGGGTGCGGCTTATGGGAGCCGTCTTTGCGCCAATACTTCCAATACATGTTGTAATTGACTTCCATTATCTTCACACGCCGTCTGAACACCAGTTGACCGCTCGTGAGGTACGGCAGTGTCCGCCGGATGGGCGCCGGACCGAAGAAGAATGGCATCGCCGGTCAGATCACCAGTGGATTAGATGGTAATGGGCTGTCAATAGGTGTGATGAGGTGCTGGTGATTGGCCACCACTGCTGCTGCTGTTGCGGTCGATTATCACTGGATTTGACCACTAATTCAATGCGAGGTTTGTCTGTAAACAAAGTTTTGTTTCAAAAGCCATTCATAAATAACGTGTGAATAAACGCATAAATTAAATGTAAACGTATTGGGAGTTAGAGAGCGACACGTGTCAACGCTTGTCATGGCGTACTGGGCGCGTGCCCAAGGCATGACCGGCGTTTTCGAGTTCGTAGTTTTTAACATTAATACTTCATTAATTATAAGTTAAATTAAAAGATAGTTTTTTAAAACACATTTATATATACTACTAACATCTAATTAGTTTAAAATAGCAATCGCAAAATACTCTGTATTTTATTAGATTTGATAAATTCGAGTCTAATGCGTCCTATGTGCAATAAATACGTACGAATATAATAGTAATTGTCCCCTATTTTCAGCCCTTATTCCATTACGTAATATATGTGAAAAGTGTCTAGGTCCTCCCATTTTTTACATATGCCGGTACATGGGCGGGCGGGCGCGGGCGTATTACTTACACGCCCGGGTCAACCATCGTTCTCTGATTGAGTCAAACACTGAATTTGAAAGCCATTTGACTATTGGCTCACAAAAAAAGCTCAAAAAAATTTTTAAAAACTTATTCAAAGTTTAGGATACTTTTTGCCGCGAAATGAGTGGCCGTCGCGCGACACCTAAGGGAAAGCCTACGGTAGTGAACAGCGTGTTGAGAGCATCCCTGTCCAGACACCGTAAAAGTATGGACCTATTCAAGGCCTGCCTATATTATATCGAGGGTCTCATGCAAGCCGACTACCAGTAAGTAGTATCCCATACGTTGGTCCCTAACTGTCGGTACTCCCACACCATTGCTTACCCGCCCGATCATCACATGTTTAGGGCCCTGGCGGGTGTGGGCGCCTGTATGCGCGCGTTCATGACTGGCCGGCAAATACCTATTTCGGAGGCCTCCGGGCCGCCCACCACTGAGACGGCGATATATAGCGCTATCATACTTACGGCCCACGTGTTGGACACAATAGTGAAGCCGGGGGACGGCCTACTCAACGCCTACAGCGGACCGTTAGTGCTCTACTCTCTCTCTCTCTCACGACCGCTAATCCACTCATTTGTTGCGGCATTAGAGACGTGACGGCTCTGCGCGAAGCCATCGCCGCCTACAAGGCCTACCTCGAGGCCAACCCTCCGGCCTTTCCCGGTGCCGCTCAACCACCAAATCATTCAATGGCAACATAATACCAATTAAAACATACATTTCAATCGCCTTACATACTGTACAAATAAAAACTGTTTACCCGTAATCTGACTGTGTTTTTGTTAACAAACAGTATACTGTACTGTATATGTTAATTACCTCGACACTTTACCTGGATCACGTGTATCAGGTACAGTATTGTTTGCCATTCATAACACAAGTACCGGGGCCAATAATTAAACTCCCAATAGTTGATATTATTAGTTATTTTATGGTAAATCTACGCTAAATAAGTGGCAAAATGTACGGTAAGAATATTATTGATTATTAATAAATATTATTCAAATCTATACACATTTCGCGCACATAAAAAACACCACATATTCACGAAGTCTCTAATCATAACCACAATTAAACACAATTCATATCAATTGACAAAAAAAGTTATCGCATTTTATTGAGACATTAAATCAATACAATTAGTGACACATTAGAGTGGATACAAGCGATGGTAATATCATATATCATATAAACGACATCCAGGTCTTCACCGCAATCTTCTGGCCTCTCTCTCGGACTCGAGAAGCGTGAGAATGTCTCCCTCGCGTACGGGTCCCTTCACGTTGCGAATGATGGACCGATTGTCATCCAGGAACTCGACCCTCACTTGCGTACACTGGCCCTGACTGCCCGTACGGCCCAACACTTTAGTCACTTTCGCTAACTTTATTTTGT